CTGCTGAAACTTCGNGTTTTCGGGATATCTTCAAAGTAGCCAGATCATTTATCAATGATCGTGTTCTTGCTGTTAGGCTTGCTGCTGTACAGGTGAACCATCAGCAGATTTTATGGTGCCCATTTGTCGCCGAATTTCTTTTTCTTGCGTCCATTTGTTCAAACTAACACTTGGTTGACTTTTCCCCCGTTTTCTAGTGTCTCAACAGCTTAACCCAGTATCACCCGCATTTCTTCATCAGTGATTTAGACGCGGTAATGAGTATGTGCATAAAGGGTTTGGATGGATCAAACCACGCTGTTCGAATGGAGATCTCCAAGTTGCTCGGTTTCGTTCTGGCCAAAACTCAGTTGGATTCGGGCGTTTCAGGAACTATCGGCAACGGGAATTCGGTCACTGGTAACACTTCAACTGGCGGTGTTTTGCCGAGTAAGCTTATTGCCATGTTTGAAATAATGTAGACTAGCCCAATTGCATAAAAATTTGTATTTTGAAACAAATTTTACGCGGATCTCGTTTGGGTTAATTCATTCCCCTTTATCTCGTTTCGAGGTACTATTAGTTACTTGCGGACGCAGTGGAACTTTTTGTAAGGTTAAACATAACTCATTAGGACCTTAAATTTATTATGCGCCTTTTTCATACATTGTTTGCAAGTAAATTAATGGGTACTTTGATCTCCAATCTACTTCCAACTGCTGGAATATGAGAATGCTTTTCTTATCAAAAGAGAGTCATTTGATAGAAATGAGAATACACTTTTTGGATGGTTAGCTTCAAAGGCATATTTTTTCGTGTGCATGTTGTAACAACTCCTTTTTATTGGGCTGCATTCTTTGATCTTTAAACATAACGTTGTTGCCGTTCCGCAAAGGAATTCTCGAATTTGCTGTTTTAGATTCCGGCTACTTTGAATTAGCATTTCATCTCATTAAATGCTCGATTTATGCCACCAAATTTTCACACTATTTCCAAATGCTTGAATAAGACGATTATTTCAGGGGCGAACTATTTTCTGCAGTACGAATTATTACAAGTTAGGTTCTATTTACCAGCATTTTGATGGTCCAAATGTATTAGCACGAGTTTCTCTTCCCGCGTAACTTTAATTTTGGGGTAACCGAATAAGTTTGTGCGTTTTTTCCAAAAGTCGGGTATCTGTATCAACCCTCCTAGTACATTTTATCCGTTGAAGTAATCAAGCTTGCAATTTCGCGTAGTTTATCTCCAAAAGCAGGTAATCCAGTTTTTCCCCTTGCCACCTCCATTCCTCCTTTAATTTTGTCTTTTAACTATCTGTTCCAGTTGGCATGCCACTTCCTAATGCTAACGACAAGAAAACGTGATCATCATCATCATCATCATCATCATCATCATCATCATCAGTGACCTCATTATTTACGTCTCATAGTTGGGCTGGTAACCCTTGTGCCAACAACTGACGTGACGAGCATTTATTTCTTAATTTAGACGGAGTTACTAGCCAAAAAAAGTGATAAAGCTATACACTTTTCAATTTTACTGGAAGTAAAGGGCTAGTGAGGTGGCCATCACTATAGGAGAAATCTCGAATCTGATGCTGGAGATTTATAGGCACTACTATGCATATATTTTTGTCACACTGTTTAAAATAATCATGAGATCTTATTGCGTACATATCCTTCGAAACATGTATGCCGAGTTTTCTAATTTCTGCATAATTTCGATATGTTTGCTACTGATGTTTTAAAGGAAGTTGGACTACTACACTCCAGACGCTTTACTGGTTCAATATGTCACCAATTTCCACTGCTTATTCTCCATTTGATTGCCTTAAAATTAACTGAGAAAGGAAACGTTTAACGTATTTGTGATCCCAAACCCAGAAATGGAGGGTCAAGTTGTCGCGTACATGTGATGATGGTTGTGAACGCGTTAATCAAGTTTGGGTGTTTGTACCACGTATAGTTTCTAACTTCCATTTCATCTAGTCATAACTTTTATTCCTTTACATGAGTTATCGGTCATTTTGAAGAACATGAGAGGTAAAAGCGTGTACTTTCTCTGCGCTAGGATACTTTGACTCCTCTCTAGCATGTCCGCACGGCGATGGGTCTGGTTGTTTTGCTACGGTTCCCACAAATTAATTTTTCATCTATTAAAGTTATGAATATTGTCGGTTCAAGTCAGCATTCACTGTGATTTATAGTTAACCGCTTCGAGTGACAAATTCTGGGCCAAAAATGAAACTTTGGAACGATTAATTAATGTCCCTCGTCTGACTGCTCCCTCGGCAGAGACAAATGTCTGGTAATGAGCAAACTTTGTACTTTCGATCCAACTTCGGCGAACAATTGTGTCCAACAGAAAACCTATCAGGCATCCTTTTTTCAAAAATTTTGAATTCAAGGCTAATTTTAAGTTGTCATCACGTTTATTTCGCTAATCGAGATGATTGCTTTCATTATTAGTGTTTAACGTTCTTGAAAACCATCATGTTCATCAGCAGAGGGTTGTACCATTTTATACTCCCAGGGGGTTAATTAACAGCAAAAAAATTATAGGACCTTGTCAGACATTCAAACAGTTGTTTAGGACTGAAAAGGTGAAAAGTCCTTAGTATCCATTTATCCTTACTTGTTTTGATAATTAAATAATTGTGTTGTTAGCGTTCGGAGTCTTCCTTTGATTCGTAATAAAGTATACTTTTAGTATCCGTAAAGGGCTAGGAGGCTATAGGCTTGGTCGGGAGGATCTGTTGTCACGATCTAGGCACAAACCGCGTGGTCAACGTTCCCTCATGAGTAAATCCGCATTCAAACAAATTTTGGATCCCTGTTTTGATCGTATCAGTCGATATTTGAAGTGTATTTCTCGTGTCATTGATAGTCATTTCCAAAATCTGAGTCTTCTTTATCGAATCCCATCCAATTCATTACCTACTGCCGTAGGCAGTAATGCCAACCAAAGGCCAGTGATGTATCAATCCTGAAATCAATTTTAGGGCTGTTATAACTCGACAAGTATTTGAATAAATAAACATTGCTCCTGAGGACTGTGTTAGTGATGGTGCTGTTAGAAAAGTTCCTGATGTATGGCAACACTGGAGTATATTTGAGGACTTCCTGACGGACTTTGCAATTGTGTTGGGTGACAACTATCCACTTAGATAAGTGCGATTTTCGTCACGTCAGGTTATAACTGGGAGGCGGTTGGTTGTGTCCACTGTATAATTTTTTTGTAAGGCAAATTTATTTCTCAGAAGTAATAAACCCTTCTGGAACTCCGCACCCAATTTCCTGTCCATCAGCATTGAAATGGATTTTGAAGTTACTTATAACCGGATGGATTCTTGATTTAATGTAAGTTGGATGAATATTCCCTAACTTAATCACTCAAAAAGCAGTGAATGTTTATGCCGTACTAGGGGGGTGGTTAAAACTACTGAATAAAGTCCATGTTTCGACTTTTGGCCTCTTGTAACCAGGATTGATTACAAATTGCCCTCTTCCCTGAAGATATAATAAACTGTACCTGTGCAGATGAACGGACGTCTGTGCCACTGAGGCGGTGGTGGAACTCGAAGAGACTTAAGATCCTTTTTCACTTGCTTACTGTACGAGGCCTCTCTCCCTTGGAGTGCTGTCTCCGATAATTCCCTTAGCCACTATTCTACTTTAACCATCTCGACATAGCCGGTGCCTAAAACAAGCATTCACGAACCGGGAATGAAGGTCACTCTTTGGTTTTGAGTGCTGGAAAGGCATTCGATTCCAGCCTCACTTGTGCAACCCACCGGTTTTGATGGGTCCACAGTTTTTTGTTCCTTATGAACTGCACCGCCCTCTGGATTTGCATTGCTCCAGTCTGGACGACGCTCTACGAACAGTGCATTTATACATCAATCGCTATGCACAATTTCACTTCGCTTTACAGTGCTAATGGAAACACGGAGGGGGTATCATCTACTCACCTAATTCACATCTCCACACACCTATCATAGGCGTCTCAACAATGGCAGTTTTGAGATCATTAGAGTCCGGCGTCGGCTCAGTTGTTAATTTCGGTGGAGAGCACGGAACTGAGGTGAATGCCTGAAGTGCATGCGGCTTCAATAATCCTTCCTTTGTGAGTCCCTGAAAATTCAGCCACCCGCACCATACACCTCCTTCTATGGGGCGCAGACTTGATGCACAGTCATAGAATGCAGGGTTTCGGAACAATGCATTACTGTGGCGCCCTACGTCATTTCCATCGCTGTAGTAAGACATTATCAGTGTTGAAGAGTGGTTTACCGCCCAAGTACGAAGTAGTTGGGGCACTCATCCATGCCGCCAAGGTAAAGGTGGAACTTGAAAGGAACAGAAGAGTCAGTGTAGTTAATATCTTACTACGGTGCGATGTCCTAAAACTTTGGAATTTGTACTTCGTTTACGCTAGCACACTTTGAAATAAGTCTAGTGTGTGTACGCTGCTATTTTTTGGGGATAGGGTACCTAACCTACTGTTTCTCTAATCGGTTAACAATGTTGGGGTGAGGAAGCTTTCCTGTCGGTTTATGACAGGAATGAGCACTTGAGCAGTTGAGAAGAATCAAATTCCAGTAAGTAAAATTTGATTATGTTTATTTTCCTCAGACCAAAACCTCACTGCAAGCCGGAACAAACCTACCACCTTGGACGACATCTTCACCCTCCTTTCATCCGCTTTCTTACGCGGTCCCAGTCGCTTTCACAAGGGCTCCAACAGCGTCAGTCGTGAAGTTCGCGCTGGCATCACCTATGTACGCATCCATGAGTGCTCTTGCTTCTTGCAATTGAACTGTCTTTAGGCTATTTGTGAATCCGACAGGTCTACTTGGAGTTCTTCACCCATATGGGCTCTGATTGGCTAGTAACGCACAGCTACACCATACTCTCCCATTGCCTCTCCCTCCTCACAAGCCCTCGCACTGCCTCCACTCCCAGTGAGGCAGCTTTCACGCGTCTCTGTGTAGGAGGACACCTGCTACCGCGTCTGCTACGTCGACACTTCTCGGAGGCAGCTCAAATCGCGGTGGCGCGGCATCTTCTCGCCCTTCTCTCTACGCGAATGCGAAAACGCACAAATCAACCCCAACAGGGACAATCACAGTTGAGGGGACTTGGGAAGGGCCTGCGACCGGTTAGATCTGCAGAACAGTTGGACGGGCAGACAACCGGGAGTCCTAATAGAAGTGGGAGTGGAGGGGGAAGTGAAGACGGGAATGGTGGTGCAGGTAATATTGGCGGTAGCGGCGGAGGTGCGGATGATGCGAACTACCTAATATGCTGTTTGGATGTTCTAACGGAGGTGATTAGGTGGCTGGACTCCAGCGTTGGTAAGTAGATAGTCGTAACGATTCGAAACATCATTTTTTGGAGGCTTAGCTTCCTTGAAGCTGTGCATGCCTTAGAGGTGTGGTGTAGGTACTGCGTGCATTGATGATTGAAGGCAGTGCGAAGAGGGCTTAAGGTATCTCAACTTGATTATTCTTACTGCATTATCACCTAGCTCCCATTCTCTCGTCTCCGTCAAACCTCGTAGACACCCTTTTTGACGCTTTCTTGTGTCACACTTCCCTGGGTGTGCGAGTTGCTGCTGCCGCAGTCCTCCGCCAACTGGCTATTGCACTGCCAAGTCAGCGGGTGCCCCTGATGGATCGATGCATGGGCGCGCTGAGCTCCGCCGCTTCAGCTGATAGCATCTCCGGTCACAGTCTTGCGTTGGGTGGGCTGGTGGCTGGCTCCCGGCTCGGAGAGTTGGGAATTCCCTGCGCCAAGGGTAGAGCCGTAAGTGGGTTACTTTCATCTTGCAAGTGTTTCCAGATTTGACTTGGGTGAGAAGTTTGAAGATAGCTGGATTTCGAGAAGTGTATCCATTTTGTGCTTGCCAATCAGTCATGGTAAACTGTTGACAGATGTTAGAAGCAGCTCAATCAGATAAATAAGTGGTTTGCGTTTTTGCTTTCACGTAGTTTAGGAAATGGCAATCTCAAACTTTTCTGGGCTTTTCCAGGTGAACTCAATCCGCTTGCCAGAGCCCTTTTCTTATTGTCAATCAATATACTTATTTAACAGTTTAGGAAACTCAGGTTTTCTTTTCACTGATAATGGCCCTCCTGAAACGAAAGTCGCATAGCTTTTGCGATTTTACGCAATCTTTTATGTTATTTTGATTATCCGACATCAGTTTGTTTGTTTACTTCGCGATTGACCTATGACCTTGGCTAACAAGCTGCCAAAATGTCTGTGTCTAAGAGGAAAAGGTAGATGTTTACAATGCCAAATAAGGGAGATTATCCTCATTTCTAACTATTTATTAGGTATTCAGGAATGGCTTGACAAATCCCATTCGGCAAGACTAAGACCAATTTGATAAACCAGTGCCCCGAAATTGTCGGGTGACTAATAATGTTTCAGCGGTTTTCGACGTTAGTGTGCACTAACTTGTAGTGACTTTGAAATTGCATGCGATTGCTTCTATCAGTCCGTCCATCATGCTTTGTCCTTCCCCGTACTCTTTGCCTCCTATTTGGAACCCTTATACCATGAGATATCTGTGGAATTTGGCAGATGCGATCGGTTAATTCAGTTCCCAGGCCCTTCTTTCCTGTACGTTGGAGACATGCGGCGTACACTTTAGGCTTTTAGTTGACTGACTTATGGTAAGAAATCCTTTTCCATGTGTCACAAAGTTCAGTAAACAGGCGAATAGTTAATTTGTCTCCAAAAGATTTACCCACCCCTCTAAAGGTGGGCACCACTTCATTGTTAGAGAAGACCACGTTTACTTTGCGTCCATGCGTGGTTGGTGGCCTTTAAGATTGTATAGGCAGGAGATACTGCCCCATCTCCTTCTCATCCCCCTATTCCCCTGATAGTACTTCCCCAAGTGATGATTCCGATTTTTTTCGGTGTTAGCATTGGGCAATTGCACAATCATATTAATGGTAGCTATTTCAGTGAATAAGTCTCACGAACCTTTCTCGGTGTATTTATTCCATTGCTCTGTGTTATAGGGGTAATTCACACCAAAATCCCTATTCAGTTTATATTTTGCCAACTGACTTTTTCTCCTCACCCTAGTGCACGTCTTCTTTCCCGTCAGGCGATACTTACAAGTGTAGTCCACAAAGATATTTGTTCCACTCTAGGGTGGGGGAGATTTTTAATGAAAAAAGCAGGTTTTATCGACCAATTTTAAGGTTTGTGGTTTTTACCCATTTTTTGATTACCGACCAATTTTGATGGGCTCATTGAGCCTCCTTTAATGGATGGCATTGTTGTCAAGATAGTGAAGGTGGTGAATTAGTTACTCTTTTACACTTGGGTGCTGAAAATTTCGTGCTTTTGGCAAATTTTCGAAATCATAAGCTACAATTTTATCCTCACATCCAACGTATTATTACCCAGGCAAGTCAAAAATAAACCGAAGAAAAGACACCCAAAATGCTTACCTTTTTGAGACGATTGCATTTAGGAATAACCGAATCATTATCTCTGGAAAGCGAAGTAAAATATAAACAGATTTTGTGCTTCCTATATTGTTGGCATGACCCGGTTCTTTGCAGTTAGATGGAAAGAGGAGTTTGTTAATGTGTGCAACCTTAAATGTCAAGGAAATAGACCCAATTCTTTTCCCCGGTCTACTGGCCTCGAAACTACCCTCTAGGCTCGGTTATGGGACTCTGCCACTGCAAGTACCACAGATTTCCGGGTGTTGTGAAGCATACCACCGGAAATTTTTAAGAGGCAAACACAGGTGGGTGTGTAGACAAATACCGGGTGCCTCAAGGAAAGGTCAGCCTCTCCGCATATAATACTCACTTAGTAGGTTTAACTCATTTGCGTCATTTGGACAGCGCTTTTCGTAGGCACGATTCTTGAGACAAAAGGGCTAAATATTGTGAATTCACTGAAGTTGCAAGTAATCCCCCAAAAGACGGAGGAAATACTGCTCGGCGGTCAATTGTACCCCTTTATTTTACAATCTTGAATTGCATAAATCAAATGCATTCAATCACCACCCACAAACTGCTATGCTGACCATTGGGAAATGGTAAAGCGGTTGCAAACTGCTAATAAAACCGGCAATGGGAAGACAAATTCTACTCGATTGTGCCATAAATGAACTGAAAGAATTAATTTTACCCTTCGCAGTTGCTGCACGATTGGCCTGGCGTACGTTGTACTGTATCGCATCTTGTCAGCCAATGAATATGGGGCTCCGCTACTCACTCACAGATGTTATCTCTAGCTCAAGGCCATCAATCAAAATAATGCATTTAATACACTTCATGTGTATTATCAACTGGCAGTTATTGCTGCAATAAAATTATCCGGTCACTGTCCGCTCTTGAGTCCTCTTATTGCCCTTAGCCAATCAAAACAGCGATCTGATAAAAGTGCTCGCACACTACTGGTTAGCAACTTTGATCGCGTTGGGTGCTCTTTCAAAACCTTTTCAATCAATTGAATTGGATAGTGAGGGTCCTGTTCCACTGATCAATGGCGAATGAGTTTGCTGTGACTGTTTGGGTGTAGTTTTGTTTCGAATGCACAGGGCATGGTTGGGAAGTTTGTGGCAGAGCAGAGCATAGCACTCATCGTGGTAACTCTCGAGACCTGAAGGAATCACGGAGTTGAAAACATCTAAGGCAAATATTGTTGTGTTATGTAGCCTTCTGCTCTCTGTCTTTCGACTGTGACCCTAGGCGACTGCTGTGGTTACTTTCCTACTTCGATCATTACATAGTGGCCGAATGTAATAAAATCACTCGGGATGGAAACAACAATTTCTCTTTTACTTCTCATCATTGTGAGAAGGCTTCCGATTTCAGCAACAATAATGGATTTTATAGGTTTTGATTATTTCACTTTTTAATGGTCACTTTGCTTGGATTACTTAAAGTTTACCAATGTTCCCTTACAACGAGTGCATTTCCGGTATCAAATGTTTCTAGCAGTTGAGTTTGCCTACTCTAAGGAAAATTTGGTGCTCATTCCTTCTTGCAACTTCGTTACCATTTTAAAGATACCCAGCCCCCTGTTTAGAATGATATGAGGTGCTGGAATCTGGAACTAGGCTTATATGTATGAAATAGGGGACCACAGACATATGTCACTCAGTTGCCCCATCGATTCAAACTGTGGCTCTCCATGAGTAATTTGTAACTGAATTTTCTCTCTCACGCACAGGTGTTCTCCCTAGCTGAGGATCTTCTGCGAGCAGCTAATCAAAATAGCCGCCTGACAATGTCACGTACACAGGCGGGTTGGTACCTCCTGGGCGCTTGCATGGCTCTCGGACCAACCGCGGTACGTCCGCACCTGCCTCGCCTCAACCTCCTTTGGCGGAATGCCTTTCCACGCAGTACCCGCGAACTGGAGGCTGAAAAACAGCGCGGAGATGCATTCACTTGGCAGGTAAGGAGAAGACCGGAAGATCCTTGAATGTTCCACCTTTGAAGCGCTTCTTTTGATTAAGGTGGGTGGCATTTTAAAAACGGCGCATTCTGCCTCAAAATTAGAATATATTATGTGAACTCGTATAGTTAGCTACAACATCACATCTAGTTCTTTGAAGTGTAACTGTTCACCCCTCTTACGGGGGTCATCCGGCGGATTTATTTCTTTCCTGTAGAGCTGTGTAGTTTTATTACTTAGGGATAAGGAATGCTGCCTATTTCCAGGCAGGTGGCAAAAGGTTGAACACTTGTCCTTTCCCAGTTCATATGGGCTATAAACGATAACGTGTAAAGGCAATTTTAATATGGTTTGGGTGGCGGATATACATCTCTCTAACTTTATCTCACGGTATCAAATTACCTTTTTGTTAATGTCCGTATGGAAGGGTTGAAGGGTCATTAGCTAAGAGATCTACAGCGCATTCCTTCTCTTTGTTTTCGGTAAAACTGTGCAAATAATCGGGTGATATTTCCCTACTTTCGGAGTCGGGAGTGTTTCGGTAAAGGTCATGTTGCTGACATCCGAATTTTTGCTTAAACTTATGGATGATTCACTGGTTTCCCCCACACGATGTTAAGAAATAATAGTCTTTCGAGTGGTTAAGATTTGTTTTCCCTGTCAAGTCGTGGTTTACTTTTGATTCACTGCAGACAGCAGCTGAAAGCGCCCAAGGCAAAAGTAATTAGTTGGCAAGGTTGTGATTGGCGAACAAAGCGTTGCTGGTTGACTTTTGTCAGGCGATCTTCCTTTAATCTAGGAGAGATTTGAAGTGAAAATTCGAAGCAGTGGAAACTATTGGAACTACAACTTAACCTGTAAGTGAACTGATGAGGGTGGCTAAGTTGGATGCATTTATTTGTCTAAACTATTTCGGATTATTTGAAACTTGCCAGTATAACTGAATACATTCGACGTGTGGAGAGCAGGTGAGCGAGGAAAATGAGGCTGTCTCACGACGTGAGAACGAACAGCATTTGATTCACACTCCCTGCACTCTTAAAAGTTTTATTTCAAACAATGGCTGAATGGGAGAAGACATCTGTCCTAGCCAATAACTTCATCGTTTATTGCAGGCTTAGTCACTGGTAATTCTAGTTTTCATAAGAAAAATTTTGCTTTTTGACACTAGTGTAGAACCCTAAGACTTTTTCGAGGACGAAAGAAGACGAAATAGTCGGGCGGAATATGTATTGTCAACATACAGAAGCCATTGGGGCTCCCGACGCGGTCCACAGGCCAGGCCGTCTGACGGAGGGTGCAACGGTGGAACCCTTAAGTGATCTTGAAACTGATACCGAGAATTAAACAAACCATTAACATATTTCGTAGCCCTCTCCTCCTTGGGGTGTCGTCCCCTGCGCTCCCCTTGGTAAACTTCCTGCGTCACTCATCACAACGTAATCGGTGCTGTAAGAAAAACCCTCACGAGCCGGTAGTGCCAATCATGGTATTTGGCCGCAACGTTACTGGTCTCTCTTGGTAATTTTACTGGATCTGGAGTTTTATCCTGTATGGGAACGGTATTGGGGGTCGAGGGAATGTGCTGGCCATCATGTGCATCCGTCGCTAGGCGTATGAACACTGGCCTAAAAGCAGCGTCATATGACAAAGGACGGGGCTTAAAATAGTTTCGGTGGGTTAAGGTTTCACGTCTGCACCTCCTTGCTACTTTGTTCGCATTTCAGTGTCTGGGTTCTATTTAGCTAGTGGAGAAGTGGAGGAGTTATCGCGCGTTTGCACGATTGGTACAGGTACCGTAGACAGTTCCGTAATGAGCTTTTCCAGATGGTTCACGGCTATTATCAATTCATTTGTTAATAACTTTCCTGCAGAGCAGGGTAGCTGGCCAAGGTAGATGTCATTTTTAACCTTTTGTTAGAGGTTGTTACATATTATCCACAGTAATATGCATTTATTCTGTCACGCTGTTTATCACCCAGCCGTAGGAATCAGGATATTTATCCTCTAAGATGGGATTCGCTTTTCACCGCTAGCAATGTAGTGCCCGGAATCTCCTGGAGACGAGAGCAGTCGTAATCCAAGGGCGACGTACAGAAGGGTTGGAGGGGGTGGGGGTGGCTCCTGGTACGGCCCCAAGACGGCTGCTCAGCGTAGGTACAATGGCGGAGCCCGTAATTGACCCGTTGTCGAAACCGGGAGTCAAACAAACAATTAACCTATTACACTTATTCGAAAAAGTGACATTCATTCGAGAATCTTTTTACTTGGACGAATCACTTATCTAGGTCTCTGTATTACCCTGTAAAATTCCAGATTCATGGCACAAAACACCCGACTGCCACTAGATTTAAACAAACGTCATGTCAGTCTGGGAGGAAGAACCAAACCAGCTTCACCTCGTATGTCAAGTCACTTTCTTATTACACCTTCAATTGTAACAGACTTGAGGCTTAATTAACACTGGGTGCTGCGACTACTGGCACAGCTACGGGTAATCTCGTGCCACGTCAAAATCAACTCTCCAGAGATCAAAGTTAGTCGGCTTTTGCCTCAGCCAAATTGGCAACTCGAGCGGGGAAGCGGCAGTTTATTCTCCTACTGACGTCAGGCTTCGCATCAATCACCGCTTTATCATTTTTGGAGGTGAACTTATAATTTTTGCGATTGCTTGTGCTGTGTGAACAGAGGAATTGGACCTTTTCGGGGGCAAATATGATTGCCTATAAAATGGTTGACCTCCCCGAGTAGTAGTCGCTTTTTGACAATTTATTAGGTGTCCTGAAAATTTGCAAAGGTGGTTCTTCTCCGGCTGTGAACACCCTTTATCATCTTTACTGTTCTGGCCTCAACCAGCCTGTTTGTGCTACGATTCGGCAGAAGAAAATTATAAAGAACACATGCCGCGTATATGTGACGCCGATCTCTGGCCCTTAACTTGGGAACAATACTGTTGGTTGTCTTTGCCGGAGTCTTTTAGAAATAAAATGCCTGGTGTGCCTTTTAAGAATTGCATTTTTAGTGCTACGGCTTTGTGAAAATCGTATCACAAAAGAATAAGGTGACCACACTTGAAAAGTTATTCGGTTAAAGATCAAAGAAAAAGGCAAGAGAAATAAACCATCCATTTGCACCAAGGTTTCGGTTGTTTACGCGTCCTGAAGCTTCCCTTCCTCCTGATGGCTATTGCCATATTTTTTGTGCTTTAATGAGAATGTGCTTTCGCCTTGGTATTCTTATTTCCTGTCCTTGTTATTTTGGAAAGTTTTGATACTTTGTTGTGGAGTCTTTTTGTGTATTAATTAACCTTCGAGGTTTCATTATGCCCTTGGAATTTAATCCACTTTCGTTTCCCTATCAAGAGGATTACTTGAGAGGGAGGAAGGACTTTTTAGGATATCCAAGTCGTTTCTTTTTCAGCATTAACTTGACTCCTCCCTTGTGTTAATTCAGAACGGGACCTTCATTCCTCAAGACACTAACTTTACGAGTTTTACTTGGGTTATCGTCATTATTCGGAAAAGCATTTCGTCCATTATTTGCTTAAAATTGTGTAGTTTTTGGTTTGCTGAACAGATCAACGACTTCTAATTTACAAGTTATGACAATGACAAGCTGATGTGAACTGAGTAGCCCTCGTTTGTTGTCACTTTGCGTGACCCGTTTTCGTGTACCCCTTTTGTCACGCAAAGGATGTGGATTCCACTTTCAAGCTCTAGATCCAACCTATCGGATGCTAGGATATATTTTACCTCTAAGATTTGTCAACACAACCAAGCTAGACTGAGGCATCTCATGGATTGTTCATAGATAAAGCTAATTTAAGGGAAATCGGGTACCTAGTCTATGCATAATTCAGTTTTTGAAGACGAAAGCTACCATGGAAAGATTATTATCTCGAGATGCATACTTGGCCCTTTGACTAGCAGAGCGAACGTGTAACAGGGTGATTGTGCCCTCTAACGGTGGTTGTAAAAGACCGTAAAAGCTAAAATTTCTGGACGGGATGAACAAAATCTTGTATACCGGGCAACCAAATAATTTTGCATGATTCCTTTTAATCAAAATTAAATAGATGCAGAAAGCTTAATGGAATCATAGTGCCTGAATTTCCTCCGAAGACGGAGGAAATCATTATACTAAGGCAGAATATGTATTGTCAACCTACAGAAGGGCTGAGGGGCTATGGCATGGCCCAAATGCCATGCTGCCCGGTGGCAGTACGAAGGAGGAGCCTTAAGTGTTCCCGATATCAAAACGAAGTGTTAAGCAATTCATCAAAATATTGCCTAGCCCTCTCTTCTTTTGAGCGTAGTCCCTGGCGATCGCATTGGTCAAACTTCCGGGTCAGCCATCGCAACATGGTCGGTGCTGTAAGAAAACATCCACGAAGCAACTGCGTCCGACTGCAACACCATGTGTCTCTCTTGACTATTCCACTGGGTCTGGGGTTTCGTCCTGTTTGAGAACTACATTGGGGAAAGGGGAAACGTGCGGGCCATCACATGTGTTCATCGCTAGTTGTACGAACACAGGCCAAAACACCAAGTTATTTAGTAGAGAACGGTGTTTAAAATAGTTTCGTGTGGTTAAGGTACCGCGTCTACGCCTCACTGCCGCATTGTTCTCATTTCAGTGCTGTGCAGCCATGTCTATCTGTCTGGGTTCCATCCAGCTGGTGGAGAGTTGGGGGGGGGGGGGGGGGGTATCACATGTTCATACAGGTACGGCAGACAGCTCCGCAGCGAACCTTTTCAGATGGTTCACGTCTAGCATCGCTTCGGCTGTTAACAGCATTCCTGCAAAGCAGGAGACTGGGGTAGTTGCTAAATGTGAACGTCATTTTCAACCCTTTTGTTAGGCGTCTTTGCCGATTTTCCCATCCACAGCATGTTTTCCTTCACCACGTTAAGGCTTGGCGTTCAACTATAGAAATCTGTATAGTTGTCCTTTAGGGTCGGGTTCACTTTCAACTGCCACCAATGTAGGGCCTTGAGAATTTTCTGGGCGCAAATGAATACGTATTATTATCGACGTTCAGAATGATCTGAAGGTCATGCCTTCAATGGCAGTACAAAGATGGAGTCTTAAATGGTCGCGAAACTGAAACGAAGAGTTAAGCAAATGCTTTTGTCATTGAAACAAGCAACATTGTGATCCATAATCCTCTCCAAGTGGGACAGAAGTCCAATGCTAATTTCCCTTTTACTTTCTACTCTATGCAAATGCCGATATAAGGCAATTAATTCTTGGAGCAGTACATTAGGGGAATATGGAGGATGAGAATGGGGTGAGCTGGTACCTCTCAATCTATCTCAATAGATATAAGACTCGCATGTAAATACGCTTTATGACTACGAATTCCTGTTTTATCAAAAGGCGTTTTTTTATCACCGACTGACTAATCAGTTGGGGCTTTTTCTCATGTAGTTCCTCTTGAACAATTCTGTGAACAATTGTGTATGCAATCCATCACACACGCACAAAGCAAGTGGTATACACCTTAGAGGTGGGGGATAGCTACTGTGGGGTAGGCAGTAAACCATTTGTTGGTACAGCGTCGCACTACATGTAGGAGACCTTTCTCATCAACAAACTGCTGTACCACTGCTAGTTATTAGCTTTCGGTGAGGTCCGATTATGGCAGAGGGAAGCCAAGCTGTATGGAGTCGAGTCATGGCGCTCCATTTCTCGAATCCATCTGCTTGATGAATCATTAGTGGTTGGCCAAAGCCTGCTACAAATAGCAGCAATTTATACCGAAAATCGTCCGAACCCTTCTGACCTCCTGATTAAATCGACTGTGTAATGCCGTACCGTCCAGTCTACATATCTGATTTGGTCGTAGCAATAGGGGTCGAGTTCATTGAATCCTCTTTTCAGGAAATGAGGAACCCCTTATGAGGAATTTACACCACTGTAAAGGGTGCCCGATTTCAAGTTATCCTTGATCGTTACAAGTGAAAAGTCCAGTCCCTTGGAACTTATGTCATCAGCAAGTAAACCAAATCACAAGCACCATTTTGAACATCGTCCTCATTGCTCTATAGAGAGTCCTAACTGCAAAAGGCAGTAACGAGGGTTGGAAGGTGCTCTCTATCAAACACAAGTCATGTCTCAATCTCTTTTGGTAGGAGCTTTTCCCAAAACCACAGCATGTAGCTTTACGATGATAAATTTAGTACGCTTTCCTTCTCGCCACTGTTTGTTGTCTTCCTACCCTTACCCTGCCACCCACCTGGATTATCTTCAACTTTTTGAAACTCTGGGAAACATCAGCTCTTTAAACTATGAAAGCGATTTACCACTTTTCACACTCCTTACAGACAACTTCTGAGGACAGTCTGACTTCTTTCAAATCTAGCGTCCATTATTAGTCACTGTCCGCAACTCTAGACTAATTTGGTTGCCAAAACCCCACCCACTTTCGTTAGTCCTCAGGTTTTGTGTCTCTGCACATTTGGCCATTCACAAAAGGTATCTGAAATAAGAATCCAATCAGTCGAATTGGTCTTGCTGTTTATTTAGAGGGGCATTGGCAACCTGCCACCATTTTAGCACTCAAGTAACCCCTAAATGCTCTATGTAACATGATAGTCTTAAAGTATCATTTAGTAGTACCATTGGCGTTTTTTATGAGACTAGGGAGGTCTGCATAGCATCATTCGTGATTTTTTTGCTTTTAAGTTACCTGAAAGAAATATGAGGCACACTGTGGCGGTAATATAAGTAACACGAACAGGTCTTCATGTCATTATCAGGGAGAGACTGAATCAGGCCCTATTTAAACTAATTTCTCTTTCTTTCTTGGTTATAGGTGACTCTGGAAGCACGAGCTGGAGCATTGTGCTCAATGCAGGCCTTCCTCGAGTACTGTGCGCCCGCCATGGCCGGTGAGAACGTGGCGCGACGTCTATTGTCTCCGCTGGAATGTGCACTCAATCTGCTTGATCAGATGCCGGATATTGTGCGCACCTTCGGCAACCATCTCGCTGCGCCCGCCGCCCTTCTCCGACTGCGCCTCTACCGTTGTCTCGCTCTCCTACCGCCTAGTGCCTATTCTGGTCAGTTGTCCTCCCCTTCTTTTATTCAATTGAATATCCTTTTAATTTGCCGATCTAGTTAGAGTTGAAATTGGTAGCGTCCTATCGGCGCTATATTTAATTTTGAAATGCGACTCTTGAGGGTTATTGCTTTCTTTCATTACATCCTCTTAGTCCCTCTTGCTTCTCAATGCGTGTGATCTTGATTGGGCATCTTTACTAGTAGAATATTGGGTTAGGAATTGTGGAGAGGCTAAGGATAACCAAAAATTTTTTGTTCTCTTATTATATTTCCACGTTTCTCACATTTTTGAATTTCCCCTTTTCTTTCGCTTGTATCAAATTGGATTTCTTTAATCAAAGGACCACTCAGGCTATGGGAATGAGGTTCAGATGAATAGATCTGCGTTTTCTTTGAGAGCGTTTTGTCGTATGTGTTGAAAACGACGTTGATAGATACGTAGTGAATAGTTATAAGACGGATCTCCACACCAATTTCGTGAGAATGGAATCGCTGAGGATTACAAGGACTCACATGATTCCGTGTATGAACTTGCAGCAATAAGCAAATATTACTCTATCACAAGACGTTTTGTTCATTCTGCCATGTGTTTCCCCTTCTTTCTCTCACTTTGCGAAATAAGCTGAAATAGCAGTTGATTTATGACTTTACAGTTTAGAACTCCAGACTTTTGCCGTTTAGTCGAGATTGGCCGAGTAATTCTATTTGGAATCTGCTTTTCAAATTAATGAGTGTTTCCTTTTTGTACCCTAATTTGTTGTTTGCGCACACTTGACTTTCACTTGGCCCTGAAAATTCAGAATGATTAATTGGTGAAATGGCTCCGCGCTGGATAGATACTTTGCTTTTTACCCTAATTAGTTCCTCACTAGTCTCTATCACAAGCATTCTTCCTTCAGGAGGTCAAGTTAGTCAGTCAGTCATTCCAATGCAATCGATCAACCGCGATCCTTGTTGGGTGATTGCAGAGGCAATGCCTTAACTGATTGAGTCCCTTAACGAGTCTTTTACTCTTAAACTTGCAATTGATCTCTGTGCGACCTTAATTATCTGGCTTTCGCTGTCAACATTTCTGTTAAAATTCATAAGATCACTTTATGGAAATATCCTCACTGGTCTCTATCGCAAGCTTTCTTCCATTACGGGGTCAAGGTAGTCAATCAGTCTGTCAAATCTCACCGGTTAAGTAGGATCTTTGTTGGATCATTGTAGAGGTAACGTTTGCACTAATTGAATACTTAAGTGAGTCCTTCACTCTCTTAAACTTTCATTTGACCTCTGTGCAACCTTATTAATCTGTTTTTCATTGTCGATGCTCTCGTTGAAATTCACATGGGCTCTTTATGGCAATGAGTTGCTCGTGAATCACCGTCAAGTTTACGACTTCTGTACAGTTTATGTAATGTATTCATTTTCTATTAATTATTCAAGAGGTGGATCTCTGAAGTACGGAAATTCACTTCCTTTTCTGGATTTGTGCTACACTTTTTTTCGCTAAGGACATCCTCGTGGCTCTCTGACGCACAGATTCGCAGAATAAACAAACGAATTTCAATAGCAGTGGGTTTATTGACTGAGTTAATACTTGGTCCTCTCATTCTGGAGGACCTCCTACTCCGTAATCTTAAAATACCATCTTCACAATCAGCAACTTCCTTGCTTGTATCAGCAGCTTTAATAAGCTTACCTCCGGAGAGGTTTGGTTGTACAGCGTGTACCATTTCGTGCTCGGTTTGCAGTGAAACCAGTGCATTGCTTTTTCTGTAAAATTTTTATTATCGTCATTTGCTTCCCACTCCCGATCTTCGCTGATAGCCTTGAGGTGAGTCTTATCTACAAACTGCCTTTGGAGTGGCCTTTTTCGAGTTTTCATCTCATAGTTGAAGACGAAGAGTTCTACCTACCATCGTTATACGGAGCTCTGTGAACAACTTACCTTCCAAGACTTTTTTGTACTTCTAAATCACGCCTTTGTCCCTTCCCAATTACGTAATCCAGTGAAAGTCACCGGATTATGCAAGAATTTCTATTTCAAGGCGAGGACTAACGCGGACATTGCTCCCCCAGATTTCCAGGCTTTGGTTGCTACAGACAATGGCTAGGTTCAAACATGGAGGAAGTGAAAAGATTTGTCAATGCGCATCAAAGTACTCGCTTTGATCAAGTTTAATTTTACTACCACGCGCGTGGTGTTCCTCAACCCATGACAAGTGGTGAAATTTACTGAGTACATTCCATTCTTACTCTGCAACCTTCATTGTTGATTGGGTCGATGGTTAGTTCACGTTATTGTGTCAAAGTGTCGGTTGGGTGCCCAAATCCTGAGTACTTTTGTCGGTGTGGAGAAATACAGGCCTTACTCGAGCCACGCCAGTGGGATGCGGCGACAGAGGAGACAGACCATTTCCCGGCTACCACGTTGTTATTATTTTCGGAGTAAATGACACAAATGTCACTTTGTAATGGTACGATTATGTGGAAATTAACGCTTTTCTAAATCCATTGGCTCCAGATTTATCTTTGTTCTGCCTCTGCGTCTCTGTTAGGCGGAGACAATTTGGCTGTGGCTTTCATTAGCCCAGTGGATTCTCTTTTTTTTTCGCAGTGAATAATTAACCCACTGTCCAGTGAATTACAGCACCTTCTGTCATGCGCCTATTGGATCTCGAAATGTCAAAGATGGCACTGCTTCCATGAACTTGGGTTTACCCAGGTGCGAAAGTTTTCAACACTGTATGCAAGTTCTCATTAGTGTTTTTCTCCTTTTCATATTTTCGTTTCATTTGAAAAGTCTTAATCGTGGATAATGTGATCCGCTGACATGCTTTATTCTTTGAAAATGAAACTATTTTCTTACCTACTGAAAAGGAGTGCCTTTTGTTTTGACACGCATCTCAACAGTTAATTGGAGAAGAAAAAGACGCTTTAAAGGCGTGCCGTCTGCGCTATGGCCAGATGTATTGTGTTAAGGTATTTGCTTTGAGCTGTGTATTGCTCCAAAGATATGTGATCTATGGAAGTATCAAGGCTCGTGACGATCGCCTAATGCAGTGGAAAGTCAAAAGGTGACTATTTAATGCACTTTAACGTGACCTTTAATTAGCCTTACTGAAATCCTTTTTTAGATTTTGATCTTGCGTTGAATATCGTCAAATGGAAATTATTTTTATTATTCCAGATTCTGTGGCTAGTCTGCTTTGGTAGTGTCCTTAGATGGTGCATGAAACCCTTATCCACTTTCTGGTCGATTATTACAAAGAAACTATTGCACTGATAAGGTAATGTGTCGAATCGGCGCGCTAAGGAATAGAGTGTTTTTTGGGCAAATGCTCCCTTCTTCCACGCTTTCTAGTTTAACCTAGGCGGTGATGAGGGTGTTCACCTAGCTTCTCTACCTTACCTGATTGCGTAATTTGATATGCAGTTGTTTCTGCTACACCTCATCGGTGTGTACCCTCTTCTCCAAAATCAGATCACTTTTGTCTCTATTACTTCGTCGAACTGTCTATCCCTACAGCGTTGGCGCCTGAACACTTTTTATGCGTAAAAGTGACACGAATCATCCACAAAAATGTAAATAAGGAGGACTGACACAGGTATTACACAGTTTACAATTCAGATTGCTGCAGTGGCTTGTGACCTCAGGGGACCTGTAAAATGCACGCGATCGTTTGTTTGCACTCATTGTAAATCGTTGATGGGTATATTCTGGTCCATTGGTATGACACTGCCCCTTTCTGGATATCCACGTAACAAACTGTTGATTCAAATTAATGGATGATTTACGAAATTAAGCATTGCCCCAAGGCTGCAACAATTCCCTTAGAATTTGTTGCCTGGCATTTGAAGAGGATAGGATAGCTGAGTGTCCCGGCCCAAAGTGATTCAATAGACTGATTCTGGTGGTGAAACGCTAGGCGGTGATGCCTCGAGTTGCGGAATACTGGTAAAGAATTAAGTGTCACTAGTGGCGAGCATATTCGAAGTTAACACATGGAGCAGTTTCAGTAATTTCTATCAAGAGTGATGATGAAATCATTCATTTGCGTTTGCCTCAACTTGGGAAGGGAAGGTCATTGTAGAGACCACGCAAATGGGTTCCACCTGCATGCCGTGAACCGCTAGGAAGCAGCAATGTGCAAAAGCTATCTGTTTATTTCTCACCCCTTCCGTTTGCCCTACAAAATCGGCCGTGAATTTTGGATAGCTGAGGCTAACTCGTAAGTGAAAGTAATTTTTTTTTCTGCTGTAACCTTCACCAAGCGAGCATGTCATTGGTTACCCCAAAACGCTGCAACCACTACCACCCCACACCTCCAAAGCGCGCACCATCAGGCTCGCTTTGTTTGTGTGCCCGTAATAGACTGTAAACTCAACGGTTAGCTACGAATTGTCCACTTTCTGAAGACCAAACGGAAACTGTAACTGCGATACATCTACTAGGTACAATTCGGAGGTGGCCTTAGACGTGTCATCTGGACGGATAGTTGGGGAATAAACTTGAGGTGGAAAAGGAGGTGTCAAGGGCTGGATTGTTTACCTCTCGTGGCACAGGTTTGCCAACTCTACTGGTTTGGGAGGGATAGTTGTCTACCCATATTGCGTGGCTCAGTATTATCCTTCAGTAGCAACTAATCGTCCTGCGAAATGTTTTTCAAGAGAACTCATCCAGGCATTCGCTCATCTTTTTTCAGGTGTAGTGGAGGATATTTACAAGCGTAAGTATTTAGCATGCCTAAAGGCTCGTCTACTAACTCCACATTTTTTCCCACCATGGGAACAGAACTGACTTTCCCAATCACCTTTGTTTTGCCACCTGCATGTGGGCGCATTTACCATCTGCGAAGTAGGCAAAGGAAGGCGAAGGGATGGGGTGAGGGCGTTGCCCTCCTCCTTTATTTATTAATTTTCGCACGTCTACTAACTTTTTTGACTATGCAAATTGAATTAGTTTTGTTTCTGTGCAGTTGTGGCAAGTGTTTTTTAGCGATCTCTCTCGGAACTGGAATTACTCATTCACTGTTTCGAATGATAAGGGCATGCGCGACTGGGGTTAAGGCAGTTTTTCACTTATCCCTGATGACATTGCTGCGTAAGAATTGGGGAGCAAATAGGCTTATTAAACCATTTCTTCCGGGTTGTACGCTCTGCTGCCGCGTCCTCTCCGAATGATATACAAGGTGCCATGTTAGAAGCTCCTGCAGATTTGGAGACGAGTTGAACCCGCTTCGTAAGGCAGACAAGTTAAAGCTGCGTCCGTATGTTTTAAGTGACCTTCAATGATGCGAGGCGATTTAAAAGAGTACCGAGTTGGATAAGGGCATAAGCAAAAGCACCGATGATAGATTGACGCCCATCTAGGCTCTAAAATCCATCTAGATAAACAAGATCAAACATTTTACAGGTGCTGACAAGTTATAACAAGTCATCAAAGCAAAGTGTGCTAAAAGTCACAAATTGCCTGGTCATCTGATATTTGCTCCTGCTGACCTGGTTTAATGACGTTTTCAGTCCGCTTGAAGGCTGTTTAAATGCTAGACACATTCTCTGTGACCAAGTATGATTTTTGGGGAATTTAAGGTATATGGCTTAGGGTTTTTATTGTGTGCAATTGTTACTAAGGCAGCCTAAGTATATTTCAACTGTATCATTAGTGTCATCCATGGAGGCTCATGCTACTGATTTTTTCCAGTAGTATCAGATACTCCATTACGCACTTATCTGCTAACTACTATCCCATATTGTTTTAAATTCCTCAATTTTTATAACGAAAAATGTGTGTTTTTTTTCCATATCGGGCCGTCAGCGTTATGTTTGGAATTTTTTCGCTAGTCACTGTAGGTTAGATATTTTTCTTTCTGATCATGCTACTAATTATTTTCAGTAATATCGGGCTTTTCGTTACCTACTTAATACTAAACTGTTTTTCCACATTGTTTCATTAACAAGTAATGCATCTTTTCAATTTGAGTCATGGGTGTTGCTTTTAATTCTTTCCTGTTACAGTGGCTTAGATGTTTTCCTTTTTGGAGCAGCTATCAGGGTTTTAAATGAGCTTTCCGGGCCAAATGCTTGATTTCACACATTATTTCATTTAGCTTTTAAAGGTTAACAGTTTTTGTTTCAAGGTGTCGTCCTATTCCGTCACCTTTTATTAATGAAGATCGCGCAACAGCAAACCAAGCGTTGTTGAATTCCAGTCTTAAAATCACACTGATAATATTTACTTGAGAAGAGTGTTAACATTTATCTGCAATAAGGAGGCCATTTATTTCTCATTATCACAGATTTTATCAGTAGTAAACTCTTTCAGAAAAAAACTATAACTAAAAACATTAAAAAACGCTTCTGTTTTGGTTTGGATCCTGGACATCGTGAGAGCCACAAACAAATTCCCAGACCACCCAAGTTCATCAAAAAAACACTCGGCGAGAGGATCGCATCATGTGATCATTATTGGTGGTGGGTGCTGCCACTCCAGCGTGAAGGTGACCCCAAAATATGCGCCTAAATTATCCAAACTTGGCATAGCTTTGTCACCCGTTGGAAACTTGAAACGCATTTGCTCTTATCGGTGTGTGTGCTCGGGATGGAACTAATGTTTTCTCCCATACTGTTTGATGCGGACGCCTAACCAATTGCAACCATGACGACAAGCAGTGAATAAGATCCCAAAAATATGAGTCTCAAAACAGCTAAAACGTTGGCACTAAGTTGACTATGAGCGTCGACTTCACTTGTATCCTGACAGATTCCAGTTCCAAGTGTAGATGAATGGGGTGCAACTGAAAAGTGCCTGTTTTAGAATGTGAAGGAGGTAGTTGTTTTTTGGGGCATTCGCGTCGCTAAAGCATGGTACTATGGGAAAAAAGTGATGTTATCTGTTTAAAAATAAGCTTTTTGATCTTTTGGTCGAAAAAAAGACTACCATCAAACTTAAGCAGTCGGTGGCAAATAGAATGTTGTAAATCGTTGACATTGAAGGTGATACATTTCTGAGACAAGAAAATCTGGAGGGTAGACGGTGCAATTCTCAGTTTTGCATGTTTCCTCTGCTGAAGTTTATTAACCTGGATAATCTTTAATCTACTTTCTTCATGGAAGTTTCCATACCACTGAATATTTAAGTTGTAGATTGTTCCTGTTTCGATTTACCTAAACCACCGTTTTTCTTTGTCCAATGGCCTTATGACATTGCAGAAAATAACAGTTATTTTGTTTACAACCAGACGTCATCCGTTACCGAGGTCATTCTGCACGTCTTCCACATCTTGTGGACAGTATGGAGCAAACTTGGAGTTTCTTCTTGATTTCAGTCCTCATTTGACATTTTAGTTCTGCTCACCCATCAATCAAGGTTCTTTTCAGATTCTTATAACTATTTGATGTATAAATGCTACTCATTGTTAATGGCTTTCATATTCCCACTTCAAGAGTTCTTGTATTGACAATTTTGACTATAATTCTGGCCTTGCTCCATCGCTGGCTGCTGTGTCCAACTTGCGATTTGAATCTCTTGGCGAAGTACCATATGGTTTCAATAGCCTTTCCTGTGCCATTTTTCTCATACTCGGCTATCCACCGCCGATGCCCCTCTTTCATAAATCTCTTCACATTTATGTGTAAGCCTTCCTTAAAGTTTATTTGAAGAAGGGAAAGGTTATAAAGTGGCACTTAAGTTACCCTGGATGGGATGATAACAGAGGAAAATGCAAATATTATTTGTTTCAAGAGTAAAAAGGGAGGCTTGAAGGACTTAAAAGTACTTGCTTCCGTGTATTCTGGAACACCCATTTTCTTAGTATGCTATGAAATACTTCATCATCATCACTTGCACCCTGCTTTATCAAGCCTTCAGCCGGCTCTATATAGCCTACCATTTACATGATGACATTTTGTACTCAGTTTAATAACCTATCAAGTACTTAATTTTCAGTGGATGGTTAAACCACCCTACCTATTTCCTAACTCGTATCTCACTGGCGTCACATATGTGTAACAGTTGTTTATCGGTTTATGAGAACTGATTGCACAAAATCCTGTCGCAAAAACACTGCTTTACTTTATAAGCAGTGCAAAATTTATGCAAAATATTCTGTCTTGGGAAAATTGCACTTTTTTGGTAGTTTTGCAGCTGTATATCTTCATTTGGACGATAAAACCTTTGATCGGGAGTGGTCGCTTTTCCTCTTACACAGAATCAGAGTAGTGGCGTGTGGGTGTTTCAATGTTCCTGCACCGTATTAATTCCACGACAGATCTTTGGATTTAGCATCAAAGGAACTATGCCTAATTTCTCATAAATCTCCAACAAAGTATCAAATCGAGACATGAAAAAACCTTCACGAACACTGTTGTTAACTGCTGTAAATGTGCAGGCATTGACACTGTCGCAATCATGACCTGAAGATCCAAAGGGATGAAGGCTGCAGGCCAGAGGTTTGTACTACCGACAGCCTGCGTACACTTGGAGCACGTCCACCCCTACGTCGTCACCATTCTCGCCTATTTGCGTCCTTCAAAATGGTCTTGAAGTGAAAGTATCATTACTGAGCAGCTGAGAGAAATGCAATGAGAATGTAAGGGAAAGAATTTACTAGAATCTTCGTAAATTAGTTGCCGAAAGAGGGACTTCTACCGTCAAATGGGGGGATTTCTGGAACATCCAAATTTGAATACTCTCATGATTTTGTAAACAACCCCAGTAATTACGGATTGTTGAAAATATGGATGGAGGAAGAAATAGGAAGTTAAATTTTCTAGGCTACCTGTAAAACTACCGGAGCCTTCGATAGCTTATGCATTTTCCTTCTTCTCTTGCCTTCCACGGATTTAGGCGGCTTCAACGTTCTGCTGCGAGAGATAGTGGCGGAGTTTACACTAACCGACTCCTCTTCCACAACGGCCGTCTGTTTAGCCGGTCTGTTAGGTCAGAGTGAGGACAGTGTGGTGCTCAACTCCTGGTGTCGTGCCTCCGATCAACAACTCGTTGAGGATGCTGTGAGTTTCTTTATCACATTTTTTGTCTATTGGTTCTTCTAGTTTAAAATGCATCCAGATAACGGCTGGGCCAGACTGGTTCTTTTTCTCGATAGCTTCTACTTTAAATTTCCTTTATTAATTAGAAGTGCCGGTCAATTATTCACTTATGTAGGGGACTTCCCTGTCACGAATGCGTCTGTCCTGTCATCACTTGGATTGGTTTTCTTTTTTCTTTTTTTTTCTTGGACAGATAATCAATTCCCGTTGACCTTACATTAGGTTGTCGGGGATAGGAATGGTCCTCAGCATGTAGTTCCATCAATAACTCGCAGTACTGTTTAAAGTTTTGGTAAATTCATTGCTCCTTTAACTACAATCGTTGGGATGGGATTGTCTGCTGACTGGGTGACTCGAAACTGCGGGAGAAAAAGGCTTCTTGAAAGACAACCATGGCTAGTAAATCGGTCAGTGAGAAGGAAGTCCTATTTTTCTCGGTGGCAATGCAAGTCCTTAAAGCGCTTGTCGTAAAACTGACAAAATCTGCATAGCTTACTTAATTGTCCCATACCGTAGAGTTTCAGCTAATGCTGTGACCATCTCCACTTTGGAACACTCTCAAAAGCCTCTATGATGTAGTCATTCAAAGGTACAATCCAGCTGTGAAATAGTTGACAACCCCATCGATGTATCACAAGTACCCGACCTCTTTTTTTTTCGGTCATTAACAAAGCATATTTCCTTATTGAAAGGCGTCTCTTAACAGCATTAGCTGGATGGGAAGGTTTCATTTAAAAGTTTCTCCACCCTGAACTTCGACCACAAACCGGACGACAAGCCCCTAATCGTTGCTATTTCCAACCGCTTTTTAACGAAGCCCACTTTCTCGCTAATCACTGGCTTCGATCATATCGGCTCTCTTTGTTCGGTAAGTCTTTTTTCAAGCATAGAATCCATTAATTACTTTGTGTAATATCACTTGGAGAGTGCAATTATGCTGAAAACAGAGGCAGTTGCTTCTAAAATGACTGAGGCATTGGGCTTAAGGGCATATGATGATCTCACGCTCACATTGAGCTTTTGCGTGATCCCTTCAGCTGTTATTCTTCCACTTTGCCATTGTATTCAAGAATTCTTTCTTCACCTCTCGAGTAGATGTCAGGAGCGCCGGTGCACTTATTTTAGACTTGACCTGAGAGAACTCTATCTCCATGCGGAGGTTAATTTGGGATCCCAAATTAGACCCAGTCCCAACATCTTGCTCATTATTTGGAAAAGGCTTCTGTTTACAATAATTTAAGTAATGTCTTAGCCATCCTAATTCCAGGGTGGTAATTTGTGCACAAACTTCTCCGCCAGTAAGCTTTCTAGATGGAAGTGGTGGCATGACAAACTCAGATGCGGCGAATTACTGCTCCTGACCTTACATCAGCCTTCCACTCAGTGGAACCTCCTTCATTGTTTTAAGAGTGTAACGTGAATACAAGAAAACTCGTACCTTCCTCTACTTTTTTTGCGTTTTTCTTAACAAACTAAATGTTACATGCGGGATCGTAGCTCATCGTGTCTCCTCTCTCCCCCCCNCCCCCTG